AAGCGAAATGTTAAAAAATATGTGCACATACATACATACATATATATATATATATATATAAATTCCCTCGGCTTTTTCCAAGCGCTTCACTCAGCGCTCGAGTAAGGTCATTTCCTGCTGCCCTTTGCGGGAGGCACCTGGGCCTGTCCCCACCCGGCGCCTGCCCCGCTGGCTGCTCTCCAAGGGGCAGCTCGGGAGTAACAGGCTGCACCAGGTCATCGGCAGGACGAATAACCATTTTATCATCATCATCGTCATCATTATCCTCCGGGACAATCCGAACTGCACTGCAGTTTAAATACTCTCCCAATCAGTGGTTGTTATCGTGAAAGATTGTTTTGGGTTCTTCTGCTTCTTTACGTGTCATCATTTGATTATTAATAGAATACACAGCTTACGGCTGCTTTAATGGTTAAAAAAAAATTCACCATGCTTCGGAGAGCTGCAGTGCATTAAGTGAAAATTCAGCGACTTGAAAATTAATAGCCAGTCCTCGGGGTACTGGCAGAAGGTAAAGGCACATATTACTGTGTGACCCGAGGTCTCGTTATTGGTGGATTAACACAGCAGGCAGCGTCCTAGCGTGATGACAGAGGCACGAGCTCAGGGGGGAGAACGCGCATTTATTAGAGAGTAAGGAGAGAAGCAGCTCTGCCGCGGCGGCTGCTAGCACTGGCTCCAAGGGGCGGCTTTGCTGTCCCCCTTCAGCACCAAGCAAACGGCCTGTCTCCGAGTGCCTTCCCTCTGGGAGTCCTTGTGCTCTGGAAGTAGCCAAGCTCCTTAGGGTCACTGTGGATCTGTCTATCAGATTGACTACATTTTGCAAAATACGCAAGGAAGTCATCGTGTGTCTTTGCATTCTATGGATATGGAACCACTAAGGCTCTTGCTAATTCATCAAATTTTATCTTTGTCATTAAAATAGATCACATAGTGTGACTATTGAGGAAGTTTGACATAAGAAGTTCAAGATACTTGCAGCATCATAAGGCAACTTCTTTCTCCTGGAGCAGTCTGGAACATAATTTAAAACACTGGTAATTTTGCCCCTGTGTAGGAGGCCCAGCAGCTTGCTAGCACTGTATAAGGTGGAGGATTACAGCTAAAATGGCACATAGCAGCATGAACAGTGAGCACATAAAATAAACATAGGCTTGGAAGAGGTTTCATTTTCATCTGGTTTCTGGCCTTGGGATGGTATATAAAGGTGCCATTAAAAGAACTGAACATAAAATCAACACCAATATTATTACTCAAATGGTACAAATGGTATCTTCTACATCTGCTACCATGACAGACTGCTTCCAGATAACACTAAAATTGCCTTTTTTTTTTCCTTCAATGTAAACAGCAGAAATTAATCTTAGAAGGAAGAAGAGAATGTTGTATGAGTAAGTAAAGTATTTTATGAAATTCAGGTATAAAAATTTGAAGAGGAAGCAAAAATAATGTAAAAAATTCTTTAAGCTTATCAGAAAAAAGAAACTTGCGGGAGCAGGGGGAGGGTTTCTGGAAATGCAGGAAACAAAAGCAGTAGTCAAGGAAAATTGCAAAAGGGGAGAGAAGATATTGAAGGAGGGCTGAGGAGGTTACCTTAACACTGATGAGCATCAACAGAAAGAGATGCTGAAGCTCAATAATAAACTAAGGAAAGATGAGTTACCAAAGCTGACTGGTGCTAATCAACCACGTCATATTGGAGCAGCTGACAAAAACAATATTTAAGTTCTCGGTAAAATCATCATCTCCAGCTGAGAGTGGGTGGGCTGCGCCCTTACCTTTACAAAAAGAGAAAGGGGTCAGCAGTGGAAATTCAGGCCTAATAAACATTACTTCAGGAAAAGCAGCATTAACGCAAAAGTAAAACTGTAGGATTCAGATCATTATTATTAGAGACACCATTCAGAATGGATTCTGCAAAGGAAAACCAATGTCTCTCTAATCTAACTCCTTCAGTCATATTTAATGAATCTGTGAATAGAAGAAGAGTGCTGCATAATTTAAGATCTTTCAAAAACTTCTTAAGTCTAACGGTTAATTGCTAAAGGAGCTGTATAGCTAACAGGCAAGCAGGACAGCAATGCCATCTTCTAGAAACTGCGTGGACTACCATCAGAATGGTCAGCTTGCATGGGGGTTGGGATGATTTTATTTAATTGATTTCTTTTTGAAGTAATTGTTTTAGGGACAAGAAATAGCAAAGTTTGCAAACTGTAGTTTTAGTTGAGACTCCGTAAAAATTAAAGGATATTGATAAGTTCATCAGAACTAAGAAAAGTAACTGTAAAATGGGAAGTGATGTCATGTTGGCAAATACCTTGTGGTCTACTGATTTTCCAGAAAAAGCAAGCTAGCTCAAGGATTTAATTTAGTAATGATTTCATACCTAGGTATGAAACTGCAATCCAGCTCTTCGCTCCACTGCTACTTAATACCACAAAGTCAAGAGGAAACACATATTTTTAACTCTTTATTTTCTGCAGGACTGTAATGCAGCGCCCTCACAGGCATTCAGAAGACCACGTGCATCTGAGCAATCCTGCCTGAGCTCATCTGAAACCTTTCTCCACCTTCAGTCTTTGCAGAGTGTGATAAAATAGGATAAGGCTCCTCACAATGAAATGTAATAGTCCTTTAAAACCACAGTCAGGGCAAGTGGCCCCTTTCCCAACTTTTAGAAAGAATGAAAATTGATGTGGAGTCCATGCAAAGACACCTAATTTTCTGGCATTGTAAAAGGAGTAAAGACACTTTGCACAAGTTTCTAATTTCCAGTCTGCATGCCAGCTATTCAACTCTTAGGTGCCTACAGTTTATAATGTTTTTAAAATGAGTCAAGAAAGATTTTTTCATGCTTAAAGCCCAAGTCAAAATAGAAGGAAGAAAGTAAAAAGAAAAATAGTTAATACCCCTGTATTTTGCACCAGGGAACCTTCTCCCTCGAACTGAAAAGCATTTTGGCCCTTTGAAATGTAATTGTTGAAGATCACAGCAGAACCTAAAAACACCTGTATGTAATGGTCTGTAGCTGACATCACACATCTGCAGTATTTCTCTGGGACTTTTGATGGGAAAGTGGGAAACTTGATGGCAGGTTTGAGTACCTACATACCATTCCAGTGCATAAAGATTTTTGAAAAATCTAGCCCGGATGGGCTGGCATCTTCATTCATTGTGCTTGAGGAAAGTTAGTGGTCCTTATTGCTGCAGGATATGTAAGGAGCAATAATCCTCCTGAATTATCCTTCAGTGCCAAGAGAGGGAAGAGAAAAGATTACCATGTTATATTCTCAACCTGCAAATATACATATATATGCACAATAGCTCGGGTACTATTGCAACACATTCCTGGTGAAGTTACATATGCAAATCCTAACTGTGAATGTACAAAGCAATTTTCCAAGGGTATGCACATATGATTTATACAACTTAAGTACATCTTCTCAAATTTAGGTAAGCACAAATGCAAGTGCACTGTCACATGCATTGTATTTTGAAACTGCAGCCCATAGATAAAAATAGAACACATAAAGAGTTGGATTCTTCTTAATTAAATTCAGAAAAAAAAAAAAGTAGGTTCAAATATGCAATAAGACTCACCAGTTTTATCCTACTTGGATGTTTACTCTTTATTAAAGTTCTGGGTAGAGATTATAAACAGCACAGTAGCCTACCGTTACAATAGCTATAGAAAACATTTAAAGAAGAGAGAAAATAAACACAAATACTTTGGCACTCGCTTTTTAAAATATACCCTCAAAGATGAGGTTGGTGGATATCCAAGAAAGGGGAATAGCAAGATGCAGAAACATTACTTCAGCACAGCTTTCATAGTATGATTAAAACGGCAAAATAATTGCATTCAATGAAACAGTCAACATCTTAATAGAAAATAAATTATAAAACTCTCACTTCCCATAGCTAAATACCATTTTAATTAAGATTTCATCTCCGATACATTGATTTAACTGCTCACTCACTTATGTTATTCATTAAAATGATTACTAACAGTATGACTTTAGCAGCACTTAAAAATTAAATGAGAGAAGTAATCTCAAGTAGAGAATGATGGATGTGAGAAGGAGAAAACTAAACCCATCTTTACAGCCAGGGGAGAGGGGAAGGGCTAAAACATATAAGACAATACCCTTTATATCTGTAAAGGCACATGTTATCCTTCTTCTCCTTTTATTCCATGATGAAATGAAAAACAAATCAATGTGTAAGAAGACACAGGATAAGTAGACTGATGTGTTTAAGAATAGAAAGGTAACTTCAAATCACAAGAATTTCCTTGGTCTATGATTATTGTCATTGCCTTTCAGTATACCTCAGATTGTTTTCAATCCAAGGCAGAAAATGGAAAGCAAATACTTTCTCATTCCACTCTCTTTTTAGGGCACAAAGCTACAGTCTGTCCTTCTTATTCTCCTTAAGAGCACAAATTGCCCTCCACTACTCCCTCACCTTTCAGGCCATAGCTTCCACAGAAAATGAAAATGGTTTCTCTGCAGCTTCATGGTCATCACAGAGGCCTTGGAGCACACGAAGAAGTTTCAGCATCTTTTGGGAGGTAACTAAACCAGAATATACATGCCAGGAGTCCATCTACTAATGCTAGCCCAAAGGAAAACTCCCCCACAACACACCTGCTGCGGATGATGCATCCTCATTACCAGCTGTTTCTCTCTGAGGATCTGCTTCTGTTGCACCACCCTGTTTTGGGAGATGTGCCAATGTAGGCAAAGCCACACTGAACTATCAGAGGACTAAGACCCTGGCATGAATTGTGACAAATCACCTTGCCAATATAGGTGCTCTCATACAGTGAAAGCAGGTAGTAAAGAGCTTGTTTTTGCTGATTTCTCTTATCTCCAGGCAGGATGGAATTTCCCTGAAAATGATAAGAATACGAATAGTTTCATGGTTTATAGGATGCTCTCGGGAGAATAATATTTGATTATCTGTCTAGTCTTATTTTGTTAGGGGCTAAGAGGGCCAGCTGTTCTATCTGACTACTGTGAGCACTTACTGTTCCAGCCAGATCATGAAGGGCAAAGACATGAGAAAATGAAAAATAATGGGTCAGGTAAAAGACTATGGTATGTACTTTTCCAAGTTTTAAAAGGATTCAGTTAACACATGGTTCTGCCTTTGTTGAAAGTTAAAATAGCTTTTCAGCATATCTTATCCTGACCAATCTCCCTTAGAGTATAAGTTTTTTAACCTACGTACCAGAAGATATAAAAAGGTGAATCCTCTCAATAAGATTGGTCTGCCTGTTAAT